TATTTTGTAAACTGTTTTACAATTTGTACTTCTATAACGACTGCACATATTTTCTTGAAAAAATAATTGAGAAATACTCATTGATAGTGCATTTGTACCCATGGTAAGTACCAGGATGTGTGACCTTTAGATAGCCACATATGGTCCATTGAATGAGTCACATTGTCCAATCAACTTGTCAGTTTTTTTCATTTTGCCAACAGAATCATTTCTACTCTGGGAACGATGTTGGTTATGCGTTGTTTGAATTTATAGACGTCAGTTCAGGGTTTGGTATGTATTACTCTGTCTGTATTGTTGCCCTATCCAGATTACCACTGAGAACACCTCAAATACAGCGTGTCTATTCGATTTGGCAGTAACCACGTAACTTTAGAACTTCCGGGGTCGGCACGTTTAGTGATCTACAAACCGCACGCACTCGCAGTCAGTGAACCATCAGTTCAGTCACTAAAGATGTACAGAGTTCTCTCTGCCATTTTGTGTGTTGTGTATTTTCGTTTATGTTTGAATATAATATATAATTTCATGAGAACACATAAATTCATCAACATCTGATATATACTATAATCATGAATACCATATGCAAGAATCACGTCATAGGGCTCTTTAACACGATGTTATGTTGAACTATGACCCGCCCTCATGAATATTAAGTAGTTATATTATTGCGCATGTGTATTCTCTTGTCAGTCAGTGATGGATGCAGCATGGTCTATATTTGTTCTGCACCCACTATACAGAATAAACGCCGGGGGTCACTCTATATGGCATTCTACCCCATGTGCATTCCACATTTAGCAGGAAAGGACGATGTTTTTCACCTTCTAAAGCGAGCCCGCACAGGAGCTAAATATACCCCCTTTAAAATGATAATGTCTACAATAGGCCCCCAAGAATAAACTCACACTACAGGGTTGCTGTGCCCGCTGTAGGCCCCCTCTAGCAACAACCCCTCCCATGCATCTCCCTCGGTCCCGAATTTGCGGACCCATAACACAATGAATGACACCAACAGGAGCATACACAACAACCATAAGTAGCTTGTTTGAGTAGGCCACACTCAACTTGAGTGCAAAACAAACGGCAGAGAATGCTCAAAATAGGAGGTATGATGTTCTCAATATATGTCTGCAATAGGGGGTGTTTTTTCGTCAATGTGTCTGCAATAGGGGTACTAAATTTACACTGCGTCCGCCATTGGTTTGCCAATGTGCTGCCAGTCCAAGGGGCCTATTGCATAGTTGCAAATAATGTGGCAAGAAACATGACCATGATACAAACAAATGTCCTACCAATAGAAAGTAATGCCATAACTGCAAAAGGATGAATCACTTTGCCTCACAGTGTATGACTGTGAGTTTGAGGAAATACAGTTAGTCACGCCATCGCCAAAAAAGCAGTTTTCCCAAGCAGACACATGCTACAATGAACATTAATAAGAGACCAGTCAAGTTTCAGCTTGATTTGGGAGCATCATGCAACATCATTCCATTAAAGGAACTATGCAATGTGAATGATTATGAATTCATAAAGACAGATTGAGTACTAGTGATGTACAACAAGGCAACGATGAAGCCTAAAGGACAGACCAAAGTCAAAACGGTCAACCCAAAAAATGGAAAGAAATACAGAGCAGAGTTTGTAGTGTTTGACGATGAGACATGCACACCGTTACTAGGAAGCAGAGCTATTCATCAAATGAGAGAGACTACCAGTACACCAAACTGACAAAAAACTGATATGAAGCCAGTGTCAGTAGAGCAAACAGTCAAAGGGTTTCCAGACGTCTTTGAATGTACAGGTAAATTAGCAGGAAAGTACCACCTTGAGTTAGACCCAAGAAACCAGTAATTCATCCTCCAAGGAAAGTACCTGTATCAGCCAAAGGTCAGCTAAAGGATGAACTTGATAGACTGATAAGAGAGAAAATAATAGCACCAGTTACAGAGCCGATACGCTGGGTGTCTAGTCTAGTAACAGTAATCAAGCCAGGCAAAATGAGAATCTGCATTGATCCCTGTGACTTGAATACAGTACTACGTAGAAGTCATTACCCTTCATCGACTATAGAAGACATATTACCAGAGCTGAGCAAAGCTAAGGTGTTTTGGATGCCAAAAATGGTTTCTGGCACATTGAGTTGGATAACGAGAGCTCTTATCTAACTACATTCAATACACCATTTGGTAGGTTTCGTTGGTTACAAATGCCCTTTGGTATATCTACAACGCCCAAGGAGTACCAACATAGACAAGACTAAGCTATTGAAGGATTGCCAGGTGTGAGGTCCATAGTCGATGACATACTGATATTTGGTGAAGAAGAATTAGTGAGTGAAGCTATAATATACCACGACATAAAGATGCATGAACTGATGAATCGATGCAGAGAGCGCAATCTGAAACTGAACAAATACAAAATCAAATTGAGGTTAAGTCAAGTTCCATTCATTGGACACCTCATAACTGATGAAGGTCTAAAGCCAGATCCAGCAAACGTGAGAGCTTTGACTGAGATACCAAAGCCGAAAGATGTGGCTGGAATTCAGAGATTCCTAGGATTTGTCAACTACCTGAGTAAGTTTCCAAAACTTAGTGATATCTGTGAGCCACTCAGAAAGCTAACACACAAGGATAGTGAGTGGTGTTGGTTGAAAGTCCATAATGACACAATAGACGAAGTGAACGGCTAATCACTTCTTATCCAGTACTGCAATACTATGAACTAACCCTGCAGACAGACGTGGCATGGTTTATGTGCAGCCCTAACCCATAATCGTCAGTCAATAGCTGTCACAAACAGAGCTTTAACAGATGCTGAGACGAGATATGCTCAAATAGAGAAAGAGTTGTTATCAGTTATTTTTGGATTAGAAAGATTTCACCAGTATACCTATGGTATGAAGGTTAATGTACAGTCAATTCACAAACCGTTGGAGATAATTCTGTACTCCAAAACTCCAAAGAGACTGCAGAGAATGCTGTTAAGATTACAATAGTATGAGGTAAACCTGTTATATCATCCAGGAAAGCAAATGTACACTACATACACTAAGCCGTGCATACTTGCTGGATGAACCTCTAGAAGGTTTGTAGACAGATATTAAGACAGTGAACATGTTAGATTATCTACTGATTGCATAACGATGATATCAGACAACACAAAAAGCGACGAAAGCCTTCAGATATTGATACAAACTGGATTTCCAGAAAATAAGGCCTAGTTACCTGCACAAATAACTCCTTATTTTCATATTTGTGATAAACTAAGCATGGTGTGATATTCAAAGGTGAAAGAGCAGCAGTACCACGTTCACTAAGAGATGATATGTTAAAACATTATCATTCATCACATATTGGTATTGAGGGATGTCTACACAGAGCCAAAAAATCATTGCACAGGCAAAACATTAGTGCAGAGATCAAAGATTACATCGCAAAATATGATGTGTGCCAGACTGTAGGAACGTGAGACAGAAAGAAACTCTGATTCCGCATGAAGCTCTGGATAAGCCGTAGGCAAAAGTTGGAACCTACCAGTTTGTATTGAAAGGAAGAGAATACTTAGTCACTGTAGACTGCTATTCCAACTATTGAGAGATTGACTACTTACCAGATACAACAACGAAAACATTCATGGGTAAACCCAAAGCCCAATATGCTCGACATGGGATACCAGACACATGTGTCTCAGATAACGATCAACAGGAAACATCAGATGCATTCAAGAAATTCAGCAAAGATTGGGGATTTGAATATATTACCTCTTCTCCATGATACCACCAGAGCAATGGTAAAGTTGAGAATGCAGTGAAGACAGCAAAGAACATCATGAGAAAATTATGACTAGCTGGCTCAGACCCTTACTTAGCTATTCTAGATTTCAGAAACACTCAAGGATGAACAGCAGCCCAGAGCAGAGACACATGAATAGGGGAACAAAAAGCGAACAAAGATTACACTACCTACAACCTACCTACAAACTTCACAAACCATCAATAGTGAGGAATGCAGATAAAGAAGGACAAAGCAAAGCAAGCATACTACTATAACAAATGAGCCAAATATCTACAAACACTTCAGCAAGGAGAAACAGTAAGAATTATGCCAACTGCAATATCAGACAGAGTGGGAAAAGGTTGATGTCACCAAGCAAGTGAACATTAGTTCATATGAAGTTACAACAGAGGACAGACGAACTCTACGTAGAAACTGCAAACACCTGAGGAAAACCTGTGAGAAATACACGTCAAACAAATCTAGCAGCAAGAAGTGAAACCAGGGAGCAGGAAAACAAGATCATATCTCAAGATGTCTCCATAGCAAAGCAAGATGACAGCATACAAAAGTACACAAAACACTGTAGAAAATTCAGTTAGAATGAGTAGATCAGGAAGTGTTATCAGAAAGTCACAATATTTAACTACGTAGAGGGCTGTTAGTCTAGATTTGTCGTAGTTATAACTAGTAGTTAGCAATATTTTAGATGGTGAACTGTTAGAATGCTTTCATGAGAGAACAATAGTTCATTAACTGAGAACTTTTGAAATGTTTTACACTATAGAATCGTTTTCATTGATTTATTGATTGATTGATTGATTGATTGATTGATTGATTGATTCATTCATTCATTCATTCATTCATTCATTCATGCATTCTTGTTTTAACAAGATGTTATGTTGACCTGCCCTCATGAATATTGCGCATGTGTATTCTCTTGTGAGTCGTTGATGGACGCAGCATGGTCTGTATTTGTTTACCAACTATACAGAATAAACCCAGTGAGTTACACCGTAAGGTATTCTGTCATTAATTCATGCAAGCAGCATTTTGAAACAGGCTCCCTCTAATATGCTATAATTATTGTTTGCAGGACTTTTCGTGCTTTGTGTTTTCACAATGGTCATCATTATAATGCATGCTTACGTCAAACGCGTCATCAATAATTGGGAAATAAAACTGTCACAATCCATCTTACTGAGCAACCATACTGCTAAAATGCTAACTCCACCTGAAATAGCAGACCCGACCTTAAACAAATCTCTTTCAATTGCCATGGGACTCAATCGGTGGAAAACGTATGACGTGATTTTGAAGACGTTATCTAAAGATAATGGCACCGAAGGAATGGAACATGGAAGTGGTAAAGTGTCAAAAGACAGAACATCGTGCAACATGAGAGGAAAGATTAATAAACAAAGGTAAAATAAAATGATGAATTGTTGTAGATTGTCAGTTACGTATTCATTCATTTCCAATATTTCATTCCTCTTTCACTATTGAGACATTCAATTTATAATTCGCTTATGTCCAATCCAATTAAATTTATTTAAATTGGCATATGTTAATTAAACATGGGAAACATTTTGGCGTGATTGATCAACTTTAGACTGAATTAACTGCAATTGAATTACTAAAAACACTACAGTTCACTCTCATAATTATTCAATACATAAACCAGGTAGATTTTGAAACTTCACATGTTTTCAATTTATTTATTTGGACAATTTGGTGATACATACACTTAGATTAGGTGTGCATGTCTGGCCGCTACCTACGAATAGTGGACTGCGAATATCACAATTGTTTTATCATGATATCGTGTTATCATTTATTCGCAGATTAAAAATCCACGTGGTACAGACGATTCTTCACATCACTCAACTTATCATGAGTTACGTCACAATGCTGCTTGTCATGAATTATAACATATGGTTATTAGTGTCAGTCGCCGTTAGTGGCGGAATTGGATATTTCGTATTTGCCAGCGAAGACACTGGGTACCGACGATTGAGGGCGCGACCGCCTGTTGTAGTTTAATTATTTTCTGGTGCGAGAGAGGGACGACGATTATTATAATTTGATATATTGAAAAAAACATTACGCATTACGTCATTACATTAAGTGGCCATTTTATGTCAAGAGTCGTTCTGATCGGATATAGAACAAAAATCCTGGGAGGTTTCAGGCTTCTTTTCAATGGTCGATCGTTTATTAAAAGCAATCTAATGCAAATAATACAAACGTCCGTTCGAATGTGTTTCTGATTTTTTGGAATTAAAACAACGCATGCGCATTTGCGTACACGTTGTTATGTGCAGTATATGACTCGATTACAAATTCAACACGCGACGACCATCGCCCGTAATATGGTCAATATCCCCGAATTCAAGTTGTGATTTCTGGCTGCAAAGCTACCATTAACGCAAAGGGTGACCTACGTTGATACACTTCCGTCAATATATTACCATTTACATTTAACGACATAATCGCAAAATGTTGAGATGTATTTAAATTCAATACAACTTGGTTTATGTTGCATACTGGGACAACCAAAGATGTGTATTTAGTTTGAAAAAAATAGGTAAGCGGGCTCACCCACCTTCTTTTTGGCTGTCGTGGATGCTCTGTCAGTAGTGTAGCAAACCAGTGAGCTAGAAAATTTATGCTTTTAAGTTCATGCACATGATTCTGGATTCCCTCAGGTTCACGGCTGACTCCATTGGTGTGACTCACAGTTGTCTCCATTGGTGACTTGGTGATTCTCCTCTCTGCCACAAGTTCAGATTTTCCAGCCATCTTCTTTCCCTATTTTTAGCATTTTCCTTCCCCTAATCCGGGAACTCACTTTTCAGGTCCAAAATCGTTCACTTTCGACCAGCATAAACAAACATAAATTTAGGAAAGACTATCCCAACCAATGTCTCGCTCCTTGTACTTGGTGAATCCTAACAACCAAAATAATTAGTTAATTTTTTAAAGATTCAGATTATGCCAAAGTGATCTTGCATTATACAAGAAATGCAATAGTATATGTTTTCGACCAGATAACGCGAATGTGGAAGCATCCAGGATTCCGACGAGTGACTACAGCTCAACACTATTAAGACAAACCTATAGAAGCTTTAAAACATAGACAAAACTGGACAAAATCATGACTTTCCTGAATTCTTTTATTGAGGATTATAAAAAAAATGCGTATATAAAGAAACTGTACAGCTCCCTGAAACTGATCTCGCATTCACACAACAAATTACAAGACCTTGAACAGTACACCAGCAGAATCGAAATTGTTTTGAAAATTGCAGCTGTTGTGGAGGATCTCTGCCGATGTCACTACCTGCCCTCTCCAAGAAATGTAAACAATAAAGACCTCGATTTACACGTATACGTAGAACTGTACGAAATACTATTTACAAATTGCAGCCAATTTGAAGTTCAACTTTTGAAGTTATAGATGAAATCATTTTCTCAATTTATGACAACAGAGTCTATGATGTCATACTTTACCCATAATCCTTTGCTTTATAATCAAGCTGGCTGACTACAAAATACTGATGAAAAGTTGAATATCTAGAGAATAAAAAGTGATATAAAAAAATGTAAATTGCATTCTCCTACATTTGTGGAGCTTTTTCTTGAGGGGTCATTATGTTGTCTGGCTTGACTTTCTCTTTAATGATAACACTAACCACAATCAATGTAAACATGCATACAAGAGAAGCTATAAATTTACATCAATAGGAGAGCTATCAGGGGGAAAATCTTCTCTCCGGGGCTTCTCCACACTTGTCAGGGGGGAATCTCGTCTCGTCTCTCTATCGCGTCCCCTTGAGGTACGGGATCGGGAAAGTCACTTATACTTTACAGTCAAATAAGACACGCACAACGAAATACGTTTCAGCTCTCATCTTAGTCGGTCAATCGAGCACTCTATAAGACACAGCGCCCTGGGGAAAAGTCCCCAAGACTCTCGCAAGGCTGACCCAAGACTCTCTTAGACTGCGTCAACACTCGCCCCAAGGCTCTCCAGGACTGCTCTGGACTCTCAGACTGCGTCTATCGTGCTCTGCTCCCCAAGACCAACTCAAACTCTCTTTATTCATTTTCAAAACTCTAACCAATTACAAAACAGTAAAAAGACTCTAGGGCGTAACCTTCAATCATAAAGCCAATCACACTAAATACTGAATACGTCATATCTTTTGATTAATCGTTCACTACATTAATAACTACGGATACCAACTGTCAGAATCGCGACGGTTATCTGGTAATTAGTTTCAAATCACTGAGCCAAGTTCCGTCCAAAACTTCAAATAGGCCTAAACGATGACAGACATAACACAGCAATTCGCTAATAATCAACTAATTAAGTCGGTCAACAGATACGCAAAAACAAATTCATGACAGAGCTTACATTGTTTCGTTCTTAGTATACATGTTCATTAGATCTGAGAGGTAGACCACTTACCAGCGATTTACATCACTTACCCAAATCAGTGGAGGTTACGCTAATACAACGTGCGACATGGGGTAATTTGATTGACAGCTGAACGTTTATTTTGACTCCAGTATTACATCAAGTTTATTGAAAAAGAAAACAACAACCCCAGCTCACGTGTGTCTGTGTATACAATCCGTAGAGTTGCTGTTGTTGTTATATTGTCCTCGTGGAAAGAATTGTTGGTAAACTAATTAAACTAAATGTTTCGTCATA